AATCAAACTATCTAAGAAAGTATTCTGACTATTCTAAACTTACTTCAAAACTCTCTACCGTTAACTACTCTAAGACTTAAGGTATATTTATATAAAATGAATACATAAAGTGTTCGAAAACATATAGGAAATATAAATAATATAAGAGATATAATAACTATAATAAATATATAAAATATAAGAAATATAAGTAATAAAAGATATATATATAATATAAGAAATAAAAGAAATATATAAGATATATGACATAGAAGACATATGTGACATTTTAGTTATCGCAGTCATATCCGTCATCTGAGTCATCCATATCATTTTTGTGTAACAATATCAAGATTTGACTGTATATATTATATTAATTTTAATTTTTGAAATTTATTTTTCTTATTTAGTTATTGTAATGGTATTAGGATGAATGCAATGACCCTTAATATGTCATAATTATCTAGGGTTCTGCAAAAATCGAATTAGATTGAATTTTAGTGATCAAATTCATATTTGATTTGATAGACTAAAAAATATTATTTTGTGATTCAATGATCCAATTTTAATGAATATTTTTTTGTTTTGTAATTCTTAACTTCCTCATTCAAATAAAAAAATGATTATTAAATTAGATTGCTAGATCATGAGATAATTAGATAAAATGATTTTATACTTTGTTATATGTATTTTCTAAATCAGTTCGTGCAGAATCCTATGATTATCTACTTAAACCACTTAAACCCTCAATTCAAGCTCTTTATTTTATAGACAAACCTTATAAATTTGACTGACTTTTAGATCTTACTATATATATTACCATATATATCAGACTGAAGCTTTTTATGAGTTATCTACTAAAGTTACTAACTATCTAAAGATCACATATCATTTTAGACTAAGGGATTTATTACATTATAATTCTTATAAGAAATTATTTTTACCCAAACTAATGTTGTAAGATTCATGAGATTATTACTATAAGATTTGCTTAAATAGTAAACTAGTTGATGATGATTTGGTCATATTAACAAATATTTTAGGAATTGAACTTAATCTCAAATCCAATTATATGTTTTGATTAGACAATTTTGTAGCATATAATGCAGTTTATTATCACTGTTGATCTAATCTCATAAATTTTTTGGTCAATCACTTTCTTACTTGTATAAGGATTAATATTTTATGTATATATATTTTTTCATATTAATTCTTAATAATAGTATTTTTGCATATAATTAAAAGGTATAAATATAACAAACATAAAATTTAATTATATATAAAATAATGCAAAAAATTTATTGTCTGAAGCATAGCGGAGAATATTTTACTTTTAGGTCATTTAAATGCAGTCTGTCCAAATTCGGCAAGTCTGATAGACTAATGATATTTTGTTTACGTTATCACGTGTTATGTATTTTGTGGTACAAAATAATTAATCATGTGAAATATGATATTTACTATGCTTCAGACTTTGAACAGATCTCATTCCCTAGTATTTAGTTTTGTTAATATTATGAATTTTAACATAATATATGAGTGGTATATATACTATTAAAATTGAGATACAAGACATAGTAAATCATATGGTTTGTACCTCAATTTTAATAGCATATCACCCATATGAATTCTGATCAAAATAATATTTCAAATCTAAGAAAAATAAGGCTACTTATAAACTTTAAAGCTTAATAACTTTTATTGCATATATTTAAAGGATAATCTCATTTAGTTTGTAAATCTAATTATTATTTTTTGAAATATATTAATATTTGTATTAAAAAAATTTTTATTGTATTTTTAATTTTAAGAAATTTATTTGATGTTTACCATATTTATTATATGGATAGTAATGTATAGCTAAAATGATTTAATAATTTTTAATCAAATTAGAATTCTTATTTATAAAATAATAAATAATTTAACGTTATTATAATTCTATGTAAATAAATTAAAGTAAAATTTGTTTATAATGATTTGATTTAGATAAAATCTACTTTTTTGATTATATGAAAGCAAGCTACAATCACCTTAAAAATTAATCAAAAAAAAAAAATAAAATAAATCTACATCCTTTATTGATACCTTTATAATACAATTTAGAAGGTATTCATGTTACGTAATATGTAAATGTCGTCTTCACAAATATATTAATATTTCTAGCAAATATTTCTAATTTATGATTCTAAAAACTTTATTGGTAATAAAAGGAAAAAAAAAACACAAAAATAAAAGGAATAATAACCCTATTTAAAATTGTGAAAGAGAAAGAAAATTTGCTAAAATGTTGCTAATCATATTTACATTTCGAAAACGATCAATATTATTTCAATGAAACAAAAGAAAAGAAACCATTACAATAAAAGAAATTATTAGTACGCCATTCCGATGTCCTTAATATGATTTACAACCTAATATTTAGGAAAGAAAATGATTATTAATTAAAAAAACACATCAACAAATAAACCTCCTTCCACCGAATCTTAAAAAATACTTACGCGGTACCACGTTCGAAATTTTCTTTAATTTCTTTAGTATATTTATCATAAAATCTACCAATTTTTTCATTAAATCTTCTGTTGCGCTCATTAATATAAGTAATATCATCATCCTCATTGACAGGTTTTTTCCTAGAAGATTTCTCCCGCTTAGCAATTGTTTTGTTAACATCCGCAACAACTTTATCAATAGCTTCACGATTTGGTTGATTATCTACGCTAGCATACTGTAAAGAATTTGCATCTCTATAAAAATTCGATTCCGTATCTACTGATACAATTTGTCCATCTTCTGTTGTAATTAAACTTGATGATGCCACTGCTGCTGCTTTTTGTTCCTTATATGTTAATAGATCTGGCTTTAATTCATTAATTTGTCTCTTATATTTCTTATGTGCTACTTGGTTATAATCTAATAGAGAAAGATTATAAATTTTTAATTAATAAAAGAGGTTATTTTTTTTTAAATATATATATATATATATATATATTTTACCGGTAAATGCAACATCCGATTTTTTTGCTTTCTTTTCTTGTTTCTTTTCCCATTTTTCAACTGACTCAGCAGAATATTCCCAAAATTTCGACCTTTCATAATCCTCTCCTCTCTCTTCAGCTTGCTATATATTACAATGAAATATTAATTAGTTTATAATACTCGATAAAGTATGTCAAAATTGATTTAATATTACTTGTTTAGCCAACAATTTTTCAGCTTCTTCCCGTTTTCTTTCTTGTTTGATAATCTCTTTAGGATTAGTTTTCTTACGTTGATGCTCTTCAAAAACTTCTTTGCGATTAGCAGATTCTCCTTCATCCTAGAAACAAAAGTTCAATTAAGCCTGCAAAAGGATTATTTAATAATAAAAAATATATTAACGCACCAATCGACTTCGAAGTTTTTTAAATTTTTCCATTTTAGCTTTAACTTCCTCGATTCGAGATGATTTATTTGATTCACCGTTCTCATCTTCATAATCATCATTATCTAAAGAACGTTTTTTCTTAATACTTTGTTCGTTAATAACAGTCAAATCCTTATTTTGTATATCTTCCATTGAAACATCCGGTTTTTGTACTAGTAATTCTTGAGCTTGAGGAATATCATCGGAAGCATCAGTCATTTTAACATCATCCTTATCAACTGTGTGTGGATTTATAGAATCAGATAGTTTCTTTCGTTCTTGATTTTCGGGATTTTCATATTGATTTAGTACAACAGATGAATTTTTTGGACCTATACTTGTTTTTGTAAGAATATTAGATTTCTGATGCTCCGAAGACTCTATCACGGGACCAGATTCCAAATCCTCCATTTTTATGACAACAACTTCGTCGTTATTAGATGATTTCTCAACTACAGTTGAATCTGGTTTTATTTTCTTCGGTCTACCCCTCTTAATAGCTTTAACAGGTGGCTGTTGGTCATCTTGTACTGGTATTTGTCCAGTAGCTGATTCTATTTGTGTAGTAGAAACAACGGCAGCATCCTGTTTTTTAGTTCTCCTCTTTTTAACGGGGTTAGCTATTTTAGCAGGAACTATCGATTGTTCAACCTCCTCTTCTTCTTGTCGTTGTTGTGAAATTATTTGTTCTTGAGATGACGAATTTGCAACGATCTCCGATGCTTGATTTAAATCAGCTGAAGCTTCTTGTTTTTTTGATTTTCTCTTTCTAGTCGGAGCCACTTTGGTTTCTGCAACAACAGTTGTAGCATCCGCATTAACAGTTTGTGGACCAGCTTCGAGAGATTTGACTTTTCTAGGTCGCCCTCGTTTACTGTGTGTAGCAGCAGGAGAAGGAGCGGGAATTGGAGCGATATTTGGTTGAACTTCAGGAGACAACGCGGCAGGGGGAAAAGTATTATTATTATTGCTATTATGTGATTCGGATTGTACCTCACTTTTAAAACCGTGAGGAGGAAAACTACCCTCATCTAAATTAATGAGGTTCCTTATAGCTGCTGGTGATGATGATGATGACGATGGATTTGTAACCGGTGTTGGTTGAATATTTACAATATTCTTTTCTGAAGGTGGAGGTAGTTGGTTTTTTTGGTCCTCCTCCTGTTTCTTTACTTTAGGTTTCCTTCCAGGTTTCTTCTTGACCGGTTCTTCAGGAGTTGCATTAATAAATAATAGCTGTTGCTGAGGAACGGAAGTAGAAGGAGTCGTAATAAATTGTTGCTGTTGTTCAAAAGGTTCCTCTTTTATAGTAACAACTTCTTGTTGTTTAGTAGCTTTAGGTTTTCTTCCAGGTTTTTTTTTTACGAGAATTGTTTCCTCTTTTAGTTGAGTATTTATAGTAGAAGAATTATTAGGCTCTATAATACCCTCTTGTGAAACAAGCTCTCTCTTTTTAGTGGTCCTAGGTTTCCTTGTAGCCTTTTTCTTTGGTATTGATTCTTCTTGGGAAGGAGCAGTAGTCGAAGTAACGTCTTCAACATTACTCTCGGGTTGAATTTGATTAGATTTTGAAGCTGTATTTTTCTTTTTAGGCGGCATATTTTAAACGTTTTGTTTATGTAGAGTGGAGAAAAATGAAATTTCCTAACGGTTTACAAATCTAAAAGTTAAGCTTTTTTTTTATTTAGAAAAAAAAAGGACAAGTGTGTGTTCAAAATAAAATAATTTTAATGTTAATCGCGAGATTCATTAATCACGTGAAGATAATTTTTTTTTCTACCTCCCAAAAAAATCAGTCATTACAAAGATTAAGCATGTCGACCCCAAAAGAGAAAACCTTTGAATCGCTGGTAAGTTTCTTCAATAGTTTGTTGTAGGTTGAAAAATATGTATGTTCTAATAAAAAGGATAGGGCATTATTGAACCTTTATGTAAAGCATGTGAACAATGCAAGTATAAAACACCTACGGAAATACAAGCGGAAGCTATCCCTTGGGCTTTACAAGGAAGAGATGTAATCGGACTTGCACAAACTGGGTCAGGTAAAACAGCAGCATTCGCTTTACCTATCTTACAAGCATTATGGGAGGCACCACAAGGATTATTTGCTTGTGTATTAGCACCAACCAGGTAAGCTTTTACTTGCGAGGAAGTGGTTATTTGATATGATGTTAATTACTTGCTTATTAGGGAACTGGCGTTTCAAATATCAGAAATGTTTGAATCTTTGGGATCTGTAATTGGGGTTCGATGTGCAGTTATAATCGGTGGCATGGATATGATGTCGCAGGCAATTGCTTTGTCTAAAAAACCACATATCATTGTAGCTACACCTGGAAGACTTCAAGATCACTTGGAAAATACAAAAGGATTTAGTTTAAAAAATTTAAAATATTTGGTAAATAATTGAAAAAAAATTCGTATAATTTTTTTTTAAAATAAATAAATAAATTAATAAATCTCATGGAATTATCAATATATAGGTAATGGATGAAGCTGATAAATTGTTGGATATGGATTTTGGACCAATAATTGACAAGTTATTAAAGGTTATTCCTAAAGAGAGACATACATTTCTTTTTTCGGCTACCATGACTACAAAAGTAGCAAAGTTACAAAGAGCTTCATTAATGAATCCAGTAAAGATCGAAGTTTCCTCAAAGTAGGTTCGACAGATTTCAATTACAATTATACGTCCATTATAAGAGTTAACTTTCCTTTGACCTTAGATATTCTACGGTGTCCACGTTACTCCAATATTATTTATTCTTTCCATTCAAACATAAAGATTGTTATCTTGTTTATTTATGTAACGAATTGGCTGGTAATTCATTGATCATATTTACCAGAACATGTAATGATACACAAAGACTGGCATTGTTGTTACGTAATATGGGATTTCCCGCTATTCCATTACATGGACAATTATCACAGGCAAAAAGATTAGGTTCTTTAAATAAATTTAAAGCAGGAAATCGAAATATTTTGGTAGCCACAGATGTTGCGTCAAGGTGCGTAATATTTATTTTTGAGAGTGAATTTCGTTCTACTTTTTTGTTGCTGATACTAACACACCCCTCCTTTTTTTCGATGTCTAGGGGACTTGATATACCTCTGGTGGATGTAGTGATTAATTTTGATATACCAGCAAATAGTAAAGATTATATACATAGAGTTGGAAGAACAGCAAGAGCAGGTAGATCCGGTAAATCCATAACATTAGTAACGCAATATGATGTAGAATTATATCAGAGAATCGAACATGTTATTGGTAAAAAAATGGAGTTATTTCCACTTGATAGTAAAGATGATGTGATGTTATTACAAGAAAGAGTTAGCGAAGCTCAAAGGATGGTGACATTGGAAATGAGAGAACAACAACAACAACAAAAGAAAGGCAGCAAGAGGATTAAAAATGATGAGGATTTTCGAGATAGAGAAGATAGAGATATTATTCAATACAATAAACTTGGTAAGAAGGCAAAGAAGATTAGGAGATAAAGTCATGACAAGAAATGTGATATTTAAAATACGTGATAAGTTTTATGTGATTATCGTGAATTAGATTCAAATTGGCGGTTAGGTTTCAATAATAAAAAAATTAGTTAAAAAAAAACCTACCGAAAAAAAATAATCAAATTTTTTTTTTTCGAGAAGTCAAATTTTTTTATCAACATTACCTTATTGGGAAGTAAATAACATTAAACAAGTTTTATATTAATAAGTTGCATAGTTAATTTCAAATTTGATTTGTTGTGAAAACGAAAAGTCAGTTTTACTTAAATAAATTAGATGTTACAACAACTAATATTTTGCGAAACCAAACACACAAAAATTGTTTAATAATATAATTTTTTTTTTTCAACAGGTCACAGTTTCTTCAAAAAAAGACAGTAAAATAAAAAAAAAAATAAAGATAAAATAATAATAAAAAAAACCAAACCTTTTTACCAATTATCCCATTCTTTTTTTTCTCTTTTCGTACGAAAAATTAAAAAATTTACCTTTTTTTTTTTTCTTCAGAGAGAATTCCCCGCAAAGACACTTAATTAGAACCGTTTAATGAACTGTAATCCTTACTTATAGACACTTAATACTTTTACTTTATCTTCAAAACAAGTTAAAAAGGGATAAAATATATTAACCAAGTAATAAAATTCATTTTTTAACGGATAAAGTTCTGCTAGATAATATATCATAATTTTTCTTGGCATAAAGTATATTTGGTAATAATGAAGCTTTATTGCTTCGTTATTCTTGTGGTATTCATTTTGGGAATATTTAACATAGTAGGAGGAGAATGGGGAACGGGAGGAATAATAGGAGTCAATTCTTTACCTATACAAAGTACTAATCAAAATGAAGATATTTCTCATTCATCATCATATTTAGTGAAACGTATAAGTCCAGCAGAACATCAAGAAAAAACAAATTCATATAATCAAGAAGAAGAACCAAAACAAACCCCATATCCCACTAGTCATAAGAATGATAACAATAAGGGGAAAGACGATGAGACGAACCAACAAAACAATAATAATGGTAATAGTGGTAATGAAGCACAGCCAGAACAGTTAATACATCCTGATCAAGTTGAAGATGACACTGCAAAACAAGTGAAAGAAGAAGCTCAGATAATTAGGAAGGTTATCATCGTATTGGGTTCTCTTGGTGCTTCATTATTATTAGTTGCTATTGCCATCGCTGTGTTATATTGGAAAGTCAGAAGGCAGCAAAAATTAGTTAAGATTGTTAAGTCTAATGTAAATAATGAATTTTTAACATCTTCGAAAGGAATAAATGGAGGGGAAAACCTTAATATAAGTAATATGAATGGGGATAACGTTAATAACAATGAAAATGAAAATGACAATAGCAATAACATCAGTAGAATTGATAATAATAATAATAATAATAATAATAATTCTAATTATAGTTATAATAATAATAATAATAACAACGAAGGTGGGACTGGAAGTAGAAAGAGTGATAACGGAGGGGGTGTAGGTAACGGAGTAACGGATATAAATGATGTATTTGTTTCTGAGAAATCAAATATGGGGAATAATTCTAATTCAACGAATGTTGTGAATAACGAAGTTGGTAACAGGGAGATGAATCATGAAACTTCGGATTCTGTGCAGCAATATTATCAAGCACCCGTACAACTTAGTTCCATACGGCAATTAACGCCTCCCGTACAACCGTCTGCTCCACCTGCCGAAAAAGTGGGAGATACCGATATAGACAATCAGATTGGTAATCATTCGTTTTCTGCTCCAATTTTAACAGCTCCGCCGGCCTATTCTCCCACAGCTCCTCCGATATACGCTTTACCACATGTTCCAATCCCTGAATTCGATGGTTCTGTTAGAGACATGATTTTATATATGGATGGGAATAATAATTATCAATTAGCTCAACAACAAAACTTACATAATTCTAATTCGAATAATAATAGTGGAACTTTTATAACTTTACATCCTTCTGTCGCTTTACCCCGTCTTAATACTGGTGTTTGGTACGCTGCTGGTCCAACGTCGCAAACTAATACTCCTATTGATGTTACTCCTCATCAACAATCAAATCATCCCATAATAATACAAACCATTCATTCCCCCACGAACTTAAATCCGCAGAATTTTACAACGAATTTACATTCATTTTCTGATTCAATTGAGAATATTGAAAATAATAGTCCCACACAGGGACATGATTCATCGATAATATAAACTCAAGTTTTTCGGGTGTTAAAGAACAATTTTTTTTTTCCAAAATTTCTGTTAAAAAATTTTGTAGATATTTATTTTTATTACATTTTTCTTAAGGGGAGGGGTTAGGGTTTAATATAAATATATGTTTTTTTTTTTTTTTTGTAGAGATGGGAAGTTTGGTAAAGATGGGATCATCAACATCATCAACATCATCATCATATCATCATTTATTTTCTTTAACTTTTAAATTTTCCTTTCTTAAAAACACAGAGGTTTAAAAAGATTTATAGTATTTTTGAAATCCATTTTATTTATTTATTTGTTTTCGAAAGAAAATTTTTAAAGATTACATTTAAATTTTTTTTTTTTTTTCTTTGTACATAGATTTTTCTTTCCTTCCTTTTTTACTTTACTGTAAAACCTTTTTTTCTTTTTTTTTTTTTCTTAAAAAAAAAAAAATTTATTAAAAAAAAATAATCATTCTAATTAAATTTTATGCATAATGTCAAAACAATAAATTTTGAATTTATTACCTGAAATGAATTCTTTATAATAAAAAAAGTTAATTTATTACATGAAAATTTATTATAATAATCCATTTGTAAATAAAATAATAATTAATATATTATAAATAATAAAAAAAGGATTCTTACTCATTATATAAATTCAATTACTATCATAACAGCTCTATTATATAATTTGGTTAATTTCTTACTAAAAAATGGAAATTAAGATTTTGAGCTGCTAGTTCCAGAGCGATTAGCACTATTTGACCCTCTTGATGATGATCCTTTAGATCCAGAAGGTTCCGTCCTTGATCCTGGTCCTTTAACCGTTGTACCTGACGTTCCTGTAGGTGCTTTAATAACATTTCCCAATCCTATAACAGTCCAGAAAGATAAAGTTTTTGTGACTTCATTACTTTCATCCGCAAAAATTTCATCGCTTGTTATAGCTTTTGAAGAATTGGTTTCTCCCGACGATTTTTCTTCTGTTGTGACACCTTCATTCTCATTATTTTCAGTATTTTTACTAGTATATTTAACTAAAAGGGGAAACTACAAAGTTGAAAAATTACATAAAAAAAAGTAAATAATTTTATATTTTCCGGATAAAAAAAAGTTTTTTTTTTTTTAAAAACAAAACATACTTTGAATTCTTCGACTTCGGCTAATGGAGTGATTTCAAGTATGATACTTGTAGAATTACCACGCTTTTCATAAATACCAATATCAGCTTTTGCAGCACGTCTTGATGAAATTAAATCCTCTTCATATTCCAAAACTTCATTATAAGGTGTAATATTAAAATGTGGAGCAAGGATCGTTACTTTACCAATCGTTACTTTTTCGAGCGTTGGTTTTCCACAATCATCTTGTATAGTTGTTTCCTCTTGTATAATTATTTCCTCTTGCGTTAAATCAACCGAAATTTCTTCGTATAATGGATTTGAAAATTTCAAAACAATTTGTGTAGGTTGATTAAGGATAAGTTTTGGTAAACTTGCTATGGTAATCTTTGGAATATTCTTTCTGAAATTAGGAAGACATTTTTAAATTAACCTCGAGATCAGAATAAATAAACTTCAACTTCAATTCTTACAATGCAACAAGTTTAATCTTGAATCGGGTCGCTTGAGCCTTTTGCTCTGGTTTAATGAGAATATGTCGACATGAACGACATCTCTTTACACGCTTTGTGCGAAGATGAATGCGTTGTGGCTGAAGGCGCCTAAAAATCAAACGTACCAAACTTTAATAATAGTAATTATATGAAGTAAAATAACCTAACAAACATTCAATAAGAATTCACCCACTCCACTTTGTACGGTTGATCACTAAGTTGATTCATTCTTTGAGTTAATGTAGTAACTATAATCGAAATTAAAAAAAAAGGTTAAGTTGTTGATTTGTTTGAAATAAAAAAAAAACCCCTTTTTAATAGAACACATACTTTGGTTAACGTCTGTTAAATGAACCAAATCATCAACTAATCCATTTTCAGGTTCAACTTTATCGACGGCAGCTTCATACTTTTCAACATCATCTGACTTTTGCTGAGAATGAGCCAATCCGGTGTTACCATACCTACTGCTAAAGCTATTCATTCCTGACATTCCTGGAATAGATAATAAAGAAGAAGGAAGGGTTGTAGAAGGTGTGTTATGTCGTAAATGTTTTTCGAATTGATCTTTAAGATGATCAAATTCTTTAACATCTGGTCTCTCATCCTCAGTCTTTTGAAGTTGTACTGAATAAATTAACAAAAAGTTAGAACGTCAATTCCACTTGAATCAAATCAAATGAATTTTATTATAAATTATTACATGCTAGACCAGTGGCCTTTTCAAAAGTCATTCCTATCTCTTGTGAATCCCAACGACAAACACCACAAGAAAGATAATACGGTGCTCCGGTGGCTGAAACAGTAGGCACAGTAGGTGAAATAGGTGATGGAGTTGGTTGTGGCTCACTACTAGCTACAACTGAAAGTGTGTTTTGACATATCGGACATTGGAAACAATTGCGTGCACACCTATTTCTCTCACTTTTCACACTGGCTGTTGGGACTTCAAATAAACAATTAGGACAGTAATAGCAAACGATCTCCTCTTGGACACATCTAGGACATCTTATTTGATGACAATCATCACAAAAATATAATTTAGATATAGGAAAAGTAGAAAAATGTATTCCAGGTGAATCAATATCAAAGGTCTCTTCTTCCTTCTCTGATTCTAAATCAGTAGTAGGCTTATTAACATCAGGACAACCGCAATGATAATGTACATAAGGCCGTATATGCCGTGTCTCCGTTTGTAAAGAATTCATTTTCATATAAAATTATCCTATCTATCCAAAAGTATTATGATCGTTCTGAATTGTGAAAAAATGCTTCGATAGGTAAATCATCTATAAATAACCAATCGTTATGATGATCGATTTTGTAAAAAAAAAAGGTGATTGGTTGAAGTCGATTGAAACGATAACGTTATTTATTTGTTTCATTTTATTTATTTTTGAATTTTGAATTTAACATTCGTATAAAAAAAAAATTTATAAAAATTATAAAAAAGTCACGATTCCCAATACCATTACTATCATTTTCCATCTAACGTTTAATTATGAAAATGAAATGTGAATCTATTATTTATACAAAAAATTTAAATAAATATAATAAATAAAAACAAAGTGTCTGTCGAATTTGCATTTCCAATGAAAGCGTATTTGTTATTAAACATTATTTCCACAAAATATCGTCATCGATTTGTTGTAAGTCTGCGAATTGGACTCCCTGAAACGCTGACCAGCTATGTGGTCTTATTGACTGCGTACCCAAAACAGGGTTTGGATCAACAGCGTAAGGACGAACCCGATCCATACTCATGATAACCTGTATGCCATCAAATGGATTCTTAACAGTCTCCTTAGAACCTGGTTCGCGTGGAAATTCGTCACTTGAAGTGCGACCAGGCCACCAAGCGTAAGCGCTGACAGCAGGGCTGAACTTGATTAGATACTGATCATCCTGAACATCCATAATGCGAGCTGGGAGATAAAGCTGCGATTCTTCGAGGCCATGGTAACGGAAGAGATAATCTGGGTATGTGACGGGTGCTTCAACAAGATCACCAACGTGAAGGCAGCGATAAGGCCTGATATCCCAACTCGTAATTCCTTTCGACCATGGACACCAAAGTTTTTCTGGACTTTTTTCTTGTTCGAGTAATTGGTCTTCTGTGAAGCCGCCAAGGCTACCACCTTCAGAATCATCATCTTTAGTATCATCACCTTTTTCATCTTCACCGTTTTCAGTATCTTCATATTTTTCAGTGTCTTCTGTTGGGCTGTTTGGGGGAGTATGAGACCAAGCAACATGCTTTACATAATCACCATTGACCTCGGTAACTTTGACATCAAACCATGACCCGTCCACGTGGATCTATGTATATACCAAAGTGTAGATATGAATATAATATCTTCGAAAGTATTAATTAAATTTGAGATGGGAATCGAAACGAATATAAAATCGAGAATCAATGTTACTAATCATTGACCGAAGTAATATATTTTTTTTGTGTTAGCTAATTAATCGAGATTGTGTGGTTTTATGATCTTATTAGGTCTGATTTTTAGCATCGGTCTGAATCAAGTGATCAATTCCAATTAAAATAATTAATACCAATTTTATAAACTCGACCATCAACTCTCAATTTTAGAATCAATTCCCATACACAATTTGAATAAAGTTGTCTGATATCACACCAATTGCATTAAACAAAATTGTTCACCTGGATTTTCTCACCAACTTTAGGTTCCTGAGTAAAAACTGTCGAGGGTCCCAAAATGCAATAATTACATTCTGGAAGATCGGTCAAGGCATCGAGTTGATCACTCTGTATAGCACGACCATTAAAGTCAGTTTGCTGCTTTGTCTTAAACACAATAGCTTTGTCTCCTGATCCAGCGGTCACAATATATCGACCACCAGCACAAGCTTTAAGCTCCACAATTGAAAGGTTCTCACTCCATGCACTTGAACCATTTTCCAAGTTTTCCAAGATAGAAATAGAGATTCCAGTACGAAGCCCACCAAGCATTCGTACGTTCTTTGAGATAAGTTTTTTTTCAATTTGGCCAGTTTGGAGGTAGCGAACATACACCCAGATATCATTTTTAGGATAGATGATGTTTTCAATAAGGTTGCTAAAATGTTGCTCAGAGCTCTTATCGTATATGAAAATGCCAAGTTCCGTCGATGTTGGCACCGAAACGATTTGACAGGCAGACATCCAACCAACACTGTGGGCAGGACTCTCTATTTCTTTAGGAAGAGAAATATCACTAGATGTTCGCTGACATTCCACAAAAATACCGTATCCACAGCTATCGAGAACGACTTGCCTCAACTTGTTGGATAACGAATCTTCACCAAGGAAATTTAAGTAATCATGTGGTTTAATGTAGCCTTTATGGAGCGGATCCAATGCTTTTCGCAAGGATGGAATCCAAAGCGGTCGAATGTCTTTAAGATTGCGCGTTTCAGTTGAATCGATATAATATCGGTTACCATATCGGCGTATGTCATCTATGGAGCCGAAGTATTTCTCCTTGGTTGCAGTTGGAATGTTCCTCAGCTGAAAGGTTACCTCGAGTTCGTGAATAAACCGAGCCCATGAGACGTACATATTCTACATTCAAAATATCACATAAGCATCGGAAGTTTCAGAAGCGAATAAGTAAAAAAAAAAATAACTTACTTCGTATGGGGCAACAGATGATATGCAGAGCTCAGCAGATCTGAAACGTTCCTTCCAAAATGAAATTGCCTCGGGATTATCTCTTCCTAAGCCTTCAAAAAAAAAAGGTTCAGTGGAAAGTGTACAACGTTCAAGTTTTTCTTGAAGCTGCTGACAGTCGCTTTTAAGCCTTGTCACTAATTCTTCAATCGTATTGGCAAGGGCATCTTTCAATTCCGAACTTATGATGTTTGTAGAAGAGGATGTTGAAGTAATAGTTGACGTAGTTGTTGAAACGATTGTTGATGTGGATGCAGTCTGACTACGTTGATAGATACTCAAAGCCTTATCTGTGATGCTAAGATCTCTTTCAACGTCTATGATGGTCTTTTGGATGTCAGCTAGAATATTGGGGGCTTTATAAATTCCAACGACTTTCTTGAACTTTCCAGAGAAAGACTTATTTTCTTTTATGGTAAGGTCCCCAACGCACTTCACATAAACCTTCTGGGTTCGTTCAAGAGTATCCTTGATATTGATAATATAGGCTTTATCAACATTGGCGTCAGTCATTTTTTTGAACATATCTTTGAGCACTATCAAAATTTTTTCCAACTTCGAGAGACTCTCGACAGCCTCTTTATGCGCTTCCAAACGCTCAGCAACTTGCTGACCCAATGAAATGACCCTTTCAATAATGCTAACGATGTCCATTGTAGGATACAGCGACGAGATTTTTAAGTAAAACCGCAGAGTTCATAACTGCGGATCCGGTCCGACAAGTATTTTATGGGGGCATATAGAAAGGAATGATGTTTTTCTATTTAGGTTGTACTAACCTATTATTCTGTGCATCGTGGCTCAGTGTTGGCACATGACATAATATGGGGCCTTTACAATAGAAATCCCACGTGATATTTCATTTTTTTTTTTTATAAATAGAAAAGACACCACTTTTTTGCTTTCTTACAAAATGACTACAAATGAAGAAATTGAAGAAATTGAAAACCATTTAAAGAATGCGGAAGGAAAATTTAATGTGGCCGTAGGAGAATTAAAGAATAAAGAAAAGAGGTTGGACGAATTGTTGGAGGGAGAAGTGGAAAATATGAAGGTGAGAAGAAAAGGTTGGAAGAACAAATGAAAGAATTGAAAAAATATAGGGATGATACATGGGAGGCGTATAAGAAATGGGATGCGATGCTGTTTAAATTTTATAACATGAAAGGTAATAAACGAATTGCATAAAAAAAACCATACCTTTTTTTATTTGACATTTCATACCTTTTAAGTTATTTATAATTTTCATTTTATATTATCTCAGAGTTTCCCTCGAAAAAGGCACGCGTTGATGAAACAGGTAAGTTTTCATCAATAAATTTGTGAATCCCAATATATTAATCAGATTCAAATTTTTTTTTTTAATCGCAATTCATCAAAAATTAGATCCATTAATTCAGAATCTGTCGAAATTTTGGAATGCTCTTCCAAGTGCTGACATAGTTGATGATATTCTTTCTCTTGAATCTGGTGTATTTCCTAATATTCGAGATAATCCCTCAAAAATTTTTATTCGGAAAGCTTACACAGATATTTTCAAAGAGATTAAAGCATTGATTGAAAGTCACAAATATTACCGGTTTGTAATTACAGGAAACCCTGGAATTGGCAAAAGCTATTTTCTCTTTTATTTACTATATGAGTTAGCAAAATCTGGAGAAACTGTGGTGTTGGATAGTCATGAACGTGTTAAATGTATCGTTTTTAAGAATGCCATGGTTAAATTGGAGAAAATTGATAAATTGGGTCATATTTTGAATGAAGAAACTACATGGTATCTAGTTGATACCAAGAAACCTTTGAAATATGGAGCGATTACCATTCTTGTCTCATCACCAAACCCACAATATTATAAGGAGTTCCTTAAATTTCCATACGCGACATTGCGATATATGCCAATTTGGAGTTTAGAAGAAATTAGTTATTGCAAGAATATCTTATTTCCAGATGTCGAAGAAAATGAAATGCTGAATCGATTTGATAAATGGGGTGGAATACCAAGATTCGTTTTGGAAAAGATAAGCGATGATAAGACATTGGATAGTTTTCTTGAGAAGGCAATTGTTAAAAGTGACTTGAAAAAATGTATAATGAGTATTGGAGAAATCGATAGCCCTGAAGATGTTAGTCATCGAATCCTTCATATTGTTACCAATGATTATTGTTGCACAACCATTATGTTTGCTTCTACTTACGTAGCTGAGAAAGTAGCAGAACATTTTGAACGCCAACAAAAACGGGAACTTATTACATTTCTTTCGGTTTCGGAAGGAGATGGTAGATTGGGCTCACTTCGTGGACAATTATTTGAAGGATATGCACATAATGTTTTGCGTAAAGGGGGAATATTTCGTATTCGTAAACTTGGTGGAAATCAAGAAGAAGAGCTAATTTTAAAGCCCAGAGATGAGCAATTATTTGTAAGGCTGGAAGATGTGGA